GTAAGTCATCAGTGAAATATATGAATCAACCCATTTGAATGTTACCTCAACATCCCGAAGACCAACATTCTTCAAGGTTTCTTCTGTCTCAGAGGCATTAAGTCCTATTGTGGACTTGTAAATCTTTTCCATGTCAGAGGAAAAACGAAGGGGAAAGTCTGATGAAAGGTTGGCAAGCTGATCCCCAGGAATGAGGCAGACTGGGCAGGGAAATTTGCTGTTGACCCCACGAATGAGGGCAATAACACATCTGCACAGAAAATTGTGAAGTTCAATGTAAATTGCAGATGTCAATACTTACTGCTCCTCATAGTCTGCAGATGCAATAAGCACAATGGGAAACATCCACCGTTCAATATCAGCAGTTGTTAGGTGGTAGCCAGTTTCTGCATATTGCTCAACAGACTTCAAGATTTCATAGAATGCCTTATGCCAGACAACTCTTTTGAAATTCACATATTTCTTTTTTCCAGTTTCACCTGAGTCTTCTTGCAACTGCATGGCTCTATGGGTAAGCTGCATGCAATTATAATTGATGAGAAATCTTCTTACAACTGGAAACCATCCAACACAAACTCTTTTCCCCCTCTTTTCCCCATTTCGAATTGATGTTGGAAGATGGGCACAAACAGCAATGGCAGGGTAGCCCTTTGCAGTGCCAAAGGATGATAGCCTGTTTTTATCTGCATACACCATGAAAAAAAAAGGAACTGCTCCTGGTGGAAGCGATGCCTAGTTGATCATTAGATATCATGATAATGAGCAGATGGGACTTCACAATTTACTTGAATTTCCCACCATGCATCAGCTGTCCAGGGCTCATCAATGAATCGTTCATAAGTCTCCCCATTAAATCTGTAATGATGTTCAGCATCCCAATGAAATTCCCTGGCAAGGTGGGGGTCGAGAAGAAGTTCCTCAGCCCAACTCCACAATGGACGCGTCCAAATGTCAAAGGGTTTATCTTCATCATTATACTCTACTGTGATTGTTGTTTTCTCAAACTAATATAGTCAGATCACTTTTCCACCTGCAGGTGAACAAAATTCTGCTTACCTTAGTTGCCCGATTTGCAGCATTCTCCCAAATTTTTGACAAGTCAGGTTCATTTTTCAAGGTAAAAGACTTGGGGTCTAGAATACATTGATGGATGAGGGAGATGAGTTCATTCGTTTGATTCTTATTCATGTGGGTATCAAGAATCAATTCTGCCAGTTCAAAATCGAGATGAGAACGGAAAGGTTTCCATGGCTCGGGATCAACTGGAATGTCAACACTATCGAGATCCTGGAAATTGCTTTTGTACTCATCAAAGCTAAAGAATTGAGGTTGGCGTCCGCTTCTTGGATGGTACTCCACTTTGATGTCATTGAGCTGTGGTGCCTGCTCAAATGGACTAGAGGACCCTTCGTCAGTATGGACTTCACCATGGGGCTCGGTGTTGTTGTTATCGGTGTTGTTGATCATTTCATTTTCATTGAATATTGCTATGTTTGCATCATAGGCTGGGTAACATAAGCAGATGTGTGCTATCAAGTAATACTTACTATTTTCCACATTTCCTGCTTGCAATTGAGTATGTGTATACCCTAGATTGAACTGATCAGC